AGAAAAATACAAGATGTGCATTTGTAAAATAAAACAGGCGGCTGACAGTTACACTAATAAGGTAATAATGGTGCAGGTTTTTCAGTCCAACAATGCAGAGCTGCCCTGAGGCACCAATCAAAAATTAATACTAATTATCACGTGAATACTGCATTAACTCTGAAGAATGATGAATTATAAATCTGCAACATGGTTACCCTCTCAGAACGACCTCACTTGCATAAAGGAAGTGTTTTTGTGCTCTTTTTTTTTTCTAGCACAGGCATTTTTGAGGACATATAACACTGAAAAACACACAACAATAAAACAATGTTATGTATTGAAATAATTACAGTGACTTCAGAAGATTTTGATCAGATCTTAGAATCTGGATGTTTGAATGAATTTTTTTTTAGCGGAAATATTTAAATGAGCATGTCAAAACAAAAAATCTTATGCAGGGGTAAAATGTGTTACACTAATAGTAGAAGTCTTGGTTATTATGTATCAGTTATGTTTATTTTTATTTGAATAAACGGGTGTATTTAAATCAGATAAAAGTAATCTTCAATTAAAAGTGAATTTTAAGTGATTATTAAAAATATTCCAGTTCATGATTTTTGTGTTTGGTTTTTATAAAAAAAAAATTAAAATGACACTGCATAAAAAAATGCATTGAGTCATTGGTTTGAGACAGATAAACAGTGTGTCCATTACAATTTTCGGCTTATGGCAAATCTGCACATCACAGGGGAGAAAGACAGCAGTTATGTCACAACACACATGCAGCGAAAAAGACACACACAGCCATACACAAAGGAATGCACACACATCACAAAACCTCACATTTGCATACACAAAAAATTAGCATAACATCCAAAATTCAGTTCATTCACCAGGTCACACAGTAGTATGATGTTATCTCTGCTGTTCAGCCCCTTAATTAATGTGAAAATATAAATGTAAACTGACTTGAGGTGTGAGATTTTTTCCCCTCTGAGACTGTATATATTAAAACTTCATTTACTTTTTGAATACATACCAAGCTTCATTTAAACCAGCAATGACAGACAATTCATGAGCAAATCACACATGTACACACTGTGGCCTGGCAAATACGACAGACATGATGAATAAACAAAAAAACATGTTCTCAGTTGTTCTAACTTTTCATGAACAAGTCCAACATGTCCAAAATGAAAAATGCTTTTGGAAAAATGACACATATCTTTTTAATTATAACAATGTGTGTCGATATGAAAGAAAAAAAGATGCTCCAGCAGAGATATACAAACTGGCACAATGTCAACTGAATCCAGCTTGTGGAGGGTTTGAACGGATGGGCGTCGTAAATAACTTATAGGTCTGACAATGGAGGCAAAGTGCCATCGAACCCAAAACATTCAAGAGCAAACGAGTCACTGTGAAAAGTTCAGTAATGCGGAGCGGGAATGCCCAACTGAATTCCAAACAAGAACATTTGGCTCTTGCCAAAGTTTAAGTGGATGAGTTCAGTCACACATATATATTTCATGAGGTTAATGGGCCCCATCAAACAGTGATTAGAGATTCTTCTGGGAGGCTTTTATTCCAGAGTGACAACTAGGTTGGCTGGGCCAGATCAAGTCAGTAACAGGTCACAAACAATGTTGCTGTGTGTGATATTTCCTGACACTGCAGACTGAATATATAAATAAAACACACGCAACCCTTGACCCCACAGTATTAGCCACACAGTGACGGTACCTGATACTTTTTATTCAGAGTTTTATTCTTTAGACTACACATTCTGGCTAAAACACTGCCCAAAAAAAGTTGAATGATTAAGAGCACCAAACGTAATGGATGTTTCTACAGAATCGACCAGGCCTTGTCAATTCTTTATTAATATTATGATATATTTCCATGATATCGCTTTATAATTCTTCCTCAGGAGGAAAGGTAGCAATGACAGAGACATAAATTTCCTTCATTTTATTTATAGTACTTAACTTTTAGCCTAGCACAAACCTGATCAGGATACACGGCCCTGACAAACGTTTCTTGAGATTTGAACTCAATTAGATCTGAAATAGTTCAACAGCCAGGTGAGTAGACACTCGGGGGAGGATTAAAAAGGAAGTTCTCGGCTGTAAAGAGAACCATAACATTTTAGGCTTACAAAGCCATCAAAGATCTTCAGTGACCATGACTGAGCCCATGAAAGTTAAAGTAATGGTTATAATGAGCCCACTTAAGGTTGGGCGAAAAGGTCATGTGAAAGCATACACCATTCTGTCTGGTTTCAAAAACATCAGCAACAACTTTCTTTATTATTTAAACCCCTTCTGAAATGGTAAAAACAGTGGCTTTAATATCATACTGCTTTCTGAAATATATTTTATATTTAATGCAACCTAAAGTGACCGATGCTGGTGAATCAGACATATTGAATCAGTCACACACAACATATTGTTTTAATACTAAACAGACTAAAGCCTAGTCTAGAAATAAAGATCAATATGAGTTGAATTGGAATACCTATGATGTAGTCTAATGCAACCTAATTCAATTGAAATACCATTAGATCTGCAAGCTGACAGTTCTATTGAACAATCACAGGTTACAAAATTAAGTCACTGATCTAAAAGAAAGACATTTTATATGCACGAGAACATTGTGATGAAAAATCCAATATGCATAATAAAATATATATCTGGACATCTGGCTCTTTCATGTCTATCCAAGCACTTCACTATATAAATGTATCAATATTATAATATTATAATAGAGAATACGCTATAGAGTGAGCCTGGGTTTACCAGATATGACGTTATTGTATGATTCCTTGTGTGCATTCTTATTACTTGGAATATTAAGGCAAAAATAAAAGCGAAAGTAAATTAAACAAGAAAAAAGTGCTTTTTTAAAAAAAAAAAAAATTCTGTTTGGAGCTAAACTGCTAACCATGTTTCTTGTTGATATTAAGTAAAAGATACAATGTTTAATATTAGGCATTGCACATAGACTGTATAATAGGAAGTGGCTTACATGTGACTTAACGTACTCAAGAAAGTGGATTTCATTTTTCTAAAGCAGAACAGCAGAGAGATATTGACCATTAGCATACATAATTATATGTATGCTAATGGTAAAAAATCACAATTTTTTACCATTAGCATTTTTGCTTATAAATGTAGATTTCATTTAATAAAATTCAATTCTCTCTAGAAAACTAAACACCATCAAAACCTACATGTATTTCTCAAAGCTACACTTTATAAATCAGCTACTTCTGCTAATTTTGGTAATTTTGAGTGGTAAAAACTGGATTACTCTGGTGATTAGGCATGACAGCCCTCTTCCCACCTCGCTGATGGCACCACTGGCAGCAGTGCAATTTGATTTGCTTTTTATGAGTTAAAATCTCAAAGAATCTGCTGTAACTCTTTACAGAACTTTGGACACATTTTTTTTACCCTTAGCATGAACCAGAGTTGAAGGATATTATCAACACTTATTTGGGAGCCCTTCTGTCAGTTGTTGTGCTTGTTAAACCCGTGCAAACAAGAGAGAATATAGAGGAGGAAGATGCAGAAAAATATCTAGAGTTGAAAATAAACTGACAAAGAGAAACAAAAATATCAACAGAAACATCACAAGATAACATTCAACGATTATTATTGCCTAAGGAGAAACTCAGACGTCCAAATCGAGAACAAAAAGCTTCTAATTGTTTGGTTTAACTAATTCTATGGAACATATAGAAAAAGACAGAGAGAGAGGGGAGAGAGAAAAAATTGAGTGTTTTGCAATTATTTCAATATTTATTTCTTATCAAATTTTTGCATATGGACTTGACCCTGACAGAGTGTGGAAATGACTGTCACAATGGTTCCGAATGCAATTGCTGAGCCGACAATTTTCATTTTCCCATGCAGAGATCCTTTTAATATAATTAAACTGGGAAAAGTGACCTTACATGTAAAAATCAACATCTCGGACTGTTGAGAATGCTTTCATTAGTTGTTTCCATCTACTCACAAAGACCAGTAAACTTTAATTGTATGATTAATTAAAGTAGACCTGTGGAAATTCATAGATCTGTAGTTCTCTTTAGTTAGCTTTAGTTTTCTTGTAGATTGACTAACTGATTTATTTGATGCCAGTCCTAATTGCTATGCTCAGCCCCACGCTCAATTCTGCCCTTTAACACGCAGTTCTGGTTTTCCTCCAGTAGGTGGCCTTGTTCTCATAGATGAGCAGACCGAACAGAGCAGAAGACTTTGACTGTGCTCAGAAACACTGAATTTATTTATAAAAGTACTTATAACTGAACTAATGTCTTATTTTGGGTTCAAAGACACTTAAAAGAAGATATGGGCGGTAATATGCACGGACTTTTCTTCCAGGCTTGCAAATGTGATATGGAAGAAAGCAGCAACATATTTTGCCATGGCAGATTTAGTTTGCTCTATCTGATATTTAAGATAGTTTATTTGATTAATCAATAATTCATTGGAAGCAATATGGAAATGCTGCACCTCTTGAATCTATGCAGTACAGCTGAACCGAGCTGAACACTGACGAGTAATTCCCAAGGTGCTCTAAATAATATCATCTTTAATAATCAGGCTCATTTCATTGAGTAAAGAAGGATTTTAATCTTAAGAGTAGTTTTAGTAAAAACATAAGGATCATTTAGATGTTTTTTTTTTATTTTAATGGTAAATGATTCAACAGGATTTTGATAATGAACATATTTTTCTTACCAACACGAGTCAAAATGATTCGTTGCCTTTATACGGTTTTATTTTATTTTTGTTAAAAAACAAACAAAATATGAACATCTTTACTCCGACGCTTTTGTCAGTCATACACATCAACGAGATTTATTTATTATTTGCCAGAATGGAGGAGAGGTGCGGTGGAGCGATTGGAGAGTCCGATGTTGACGTAATGACGTCAGAAGAACAGCGCGTGGGACCCTGCAGCCTCTTCGGCCCCCCTCCAGTCCGGAGAGACACAAGTTATCAGGGAGGCAGGCGAAGGGGCAGTTCATCTTCTTACATCTTTTCCTCGTCTACAATCCCCTCTACCCGTCCTGTATGGTGGATATTATTTTCAGCTCTTCTTTCTTGGGTGATATGGGGGATCATTCCAAAAGTAAGTAAGCCAAGCTGTTCGGTCAAGTTTTAAGTGGCAGATTTTGTTTTCGTCGCTGTGGCTACATGATATATTGGGCAGTGCGCCGATTATTTCACTTATTTTCTCAGTAATACTAAAGTAATTTGTGTGGCTGTGTGTTTCAGGTGAGATTGTGATAAACGAAACGATTCCGTATTTTGCTTTTTGAGTACTGGCTAAAGTCCCCAGCTGTTACATAACAGCAAGTGTTGTCAAGTCTGCAAAACAGAGAAGTTACTTTAAACCCCCCCCTCACAGTGAAACATTATAGAAATAAATGGTGCAGCTGTTTGTCGTGTTTCTTTCGGGTGCATTTTCAGTCTGTGGACTCTTTGCAGAGAAGCCAGGATTCGCGATGTGTGTAGGATGTGGAAGTCAGATCCATGACCAGTACATACTGAGAGTCTCTCCCGATCTGGAGTGGCACGCAGCCTGTCTAAAGTGTGCGGAGTGCAGCCAGTACTTGGATGAGACCTGTACTTGTTTCGTCCGGGACGGCAAAACCTACTGCAAAAGAGATTATGTAAGGTAGGATTAAAAAAAATCCCCTAATTATCGAGTGATATTAGTCGGTATAAATTTAATGTTGGATGTATTTAGGCTATTGATTACAATTTCTATTATGAAAAAAGTGAGTGAACTGTGGACACAAAATAAAATCTAAATCACAAGAAAACCTCTGTAACATACATCCTAAATGCGCAATTTATTATAAAATTTTGCACTAACGAAAAACATATCTAGGCCTACACACTGCTTTAACATGTTATCAATGAAACTATATGATATGATGCCTTAAACGCTTAAAAGAGCTAAAACTTACATCTTTGACTGAACACCCCAAAGTTTGTGTGTGTGTGTGTGTTGTTATTTACATTTCCCGCAGATTTTTAATGCTATTCAATGAATCTATTCTTGCCAGGCTGTTTGGAATTAAATGCGCAAAATGCAACCTGGGATTCAGCAGCAGCGATTTGGTGATGAGAGCTCGGGATAACGTGTACCACATCGAGTGTTTTCGGTGCTCCGTGTGCAGCAGGCAACTGCTGCCGGGAGACGAGTTTTCTCTCCGGGAAGAGGAGCTGCTGTGCCGGGCAGACCACAGCCTGCTGCTGGAGAGGAGCTCCGCAGGAAGCCCCGTCAGTCCCGGACACATCCACTCCAACAGACCGCTGCACCTGGCAGGTCAGTTATTATTATTATTATTATTATTATTATTATTATTATTATTATTATTATTATTATTATTATTATTATTATTATTATTATTATTATTATTCTTGTTGGCCCTGTGCATTTATTGAAACTATGTCCTAAAAACGCTCTTTTATAAAAACTTGTAAATTATAAGAGTTTATGTACAAATTATGAATAAAATCCTTGTAAAATGGTCAAGGTTTATTCTTATTATTATTATTTAAAACTTCTTCCGCTCCTCAGCATGCAAGTAATTTGTTGTGATTGGACTGTGTGTGTGTGTGTGTTTGTGTGCGTCAGCTGTGTGCTGCGACCTTTCTTAGGGCTAATTTCATAATTGATCTCGTTAGGAGTAACCTGCTCTGTTGCCATTATCTGAATAATCTGGTATTTGAGTCGGCTGTGACAGTGTGTGCGTGTGTGTACGTGTGTTCGCAGAGATCCTGAGGGCGTTTGACCACAGAAAGAAAATAAAGTAAACGTGAGAATTATGCTCACAACTTCCTGATTAGTAAAACAGAACAGGTTTGTACACGTCAGTAAAACACAGGTCTCTAGCTGTGCCATCGCTGCTCCTTTTTCACATTTAATAAAAATGTTCCATTTTATGGCGACAGCGATTCACGACGTGAGTTCAGCCGGAAAGTGCAGCCTTGAAAAACAGTTATTAATTGTAACAAATCGATTTTTACGCTTATTGTGCGTTATTTTATTACACTGCGAGAGACTGTAGAAATCATAATTGTTTTTCTTATCTTCAGATAAAAATTAAAGCAGCGGGCATTTCTGGCAATATTGATTTAAACAGCAGTTTACTGGAACGTGGTTTAAAAACGTTGCAGAGTTTTTTTTCTTGTCTTAGTTTAATTCACGTCAGGCTGATGAATATGGCTGGTTTTTCCTGCATAATGCAAATCCATCTAAAGTGATTTAGAAGGCGAAAGTGCACAGATTGAGACGAATGGGCTGCAGAGTAATTGTATCAAAACATTAATGTTTCCTGTACAAGACCTTCTTAGTGTGTCACAGTCACTGACAGACCCTTTCTCCGTCCTCAGCAGATCCTGTAACGGTGCGGCAGGCTCCGCATCGGAACCACGTCCACAAGCAGTCGGAGAAGACAACGCGGGTCAGGACGGTGCTGAACGAGAAACAGCTCCACACGTTGCGGACCTGCTACAACGCCAACCCGAGGCCGGACGCGCTGATGAAGGAGCAGCTGGTGGAAATGACTGGCCTGAGCCCAAGGGTTATCCGGGTCTGGTTCCAGAACAAGCGCTGCAAAGACAAAAAGAAATCTATCCTCATGAAGCAGCTCCAGCAGCAGCAGCAGAGCGATAAGACTGTAAGCATCTTCGTAAGTTTGACCGCTTAATTACTATCTTCAATCGTTCTTTCATTTAAAGCCATGACCTGAATGTGAACTCGGTTATTTGTTTGATGCTGCCATACATCTTTGTGACATACAAGTTCTCCTGCAAAGTTGCAAACAGATGCAACTCCCACGAAAATAACCTGATAGCTTGTGAATTTTTTCTTTTTGTTTGCTTTGTGAATTTGTATTTTTCCATTAGTAGAAGCTAATCCTTTGCGTTTAACCTTTTGTAAACTTGTGATTCGACTTACCTTTACTTAGAGTGAGGCCCAGTGCACCCTTGCAGTGCTATGCTGTATTCAAACTTTATGTCAATGAATAATAAATCACCTACTTTGACTTCAGCTGCCTGCCATAAAAGATAAAAAGGGTTCTCTGTATACAAGCTTTCTCTGTATTAGATCAGTTTTTCAGTCTTTTTTCCGCCCCTAAAAAAACTTCAATAAAAACCCCGTCCTTTATTTATTATTTATTATTATTTATTTTCCTCCCACAAATATTGCACTCATCACAAGTGGTCCATGAAGATGAGCATGTGCAGGGTTTATAGGGGTCAGAAGGATAAACAGAAGTTCTCTGGACACCACAGTTGTTGACAAATTCTTCCTTGCAGAAAAGAGACACATCGTTCTTATTCTGTGTGTTTTTGTAAAATATTCTCAGAGCCTGCAGGGCCTCACGGGGACGCCACTTGTGGCTGGGAGTCCAATTCGACACGAGGGGAACGTGCAGGGAAACCCAGTGGAGGTTCAGACCTACCAGCCTCCGTGGAAAGCTTTGAGTGAATTCGCCCTGCAGAGCGACCTGGATCAGCCAGCTTTTCAACAACTGGTGTGTGTGTTCAGGACAGACTGAATGTGACATGATTTATACAGGCTGCTGGTGCACTGCATGTGCACGAAAACAATAGCCAGTAAATTCTGTAGCATGCGGTCAAATACAGATATGCAACACATGCACGCACTCACATGCAAAGTAATTATATTGGGCCACGTGTGCGTCGTGTGCTTTGCAAAAGTAAAGCTGGACTTTCACACTTTCACACTTGCAAAAAACAAAAACTAAAAAAAAGGTACTAAAGCAGTATTCTGGTACGTTGTTTTCTGCTCTCAGGTGTCTTTCTCTGAATCGGGATCTCTCGGGAACTCCTCGGGCAGCGACGTGACTTCTTTGTCTTCTCAGTTACCGGACACCCCGAACAGTATGGTACCCAGCCCGGTGGAGACGTGAAACGGGGCCATCCATCCATCCTAATGGTCATCCCTCCTGCAAGGACAGTTGCAGCATGATCCCGGTCCCTTGCATGTGACCAACTCATCACATCGCCCGAATTTTCAGTGGAGAAAGCATTTTTTTCCTGACACGCAGAAGTCGGAACCAAGAGAGCACCAATTGACTCCGACTTTTCTTTTTCTTTCTTTTTTTCCGGAGTTTTCATTGACAAAAAACTAAGCAGAACAATTGTTGCATGACTTGATACGGAGAACGAAGATGTACAGAATACCTCCCGATGGATATATTACAACAAACCAACCGTCAGAAACAAATTGGAAACATTTCCACGGTGATCCAGATGGACATCTTGCAATTTAATGTGATCATAATGTGTCTTGTTTTTTTTCAACATGAGAATTTTTGATACATTCATTTCGTTGTCGAGTCCAGTTGACGTTTTGTCTTAAGGTCAGAGCATGATAATCTGCAAAGTATTCGTGTTGTAAAATATTTTATCTTAAGGGCAAGAAACAGGTTGTTTGAGCTTCTCGAACAAAAAGTAAATTATTGTTATATTATTTATTGTTAGGAAAGCGATTCGCTAAGGGATTATTAACTGAGAAAAAAATAAAAACACTGAATACATAAAGTGTCTTCGTGACCAGTCATTGTACAGGCGCATTATTATTTCACATGTGCATTTATAAAGCAATGCAATTTAATATATTTTAAAAAACGCTTTAAAATTAGTAACTACTGCCCATCTGCCACTTTATGGACCTAATTAAGATTTTCAGGCGCTTTTATTGTGATAAAAATAAATTCAGTCCAGTCCCAAATACAGGGAACAGATTTTCACTCTTCCTGACAGCGTGTAATTTCTGATTAAAAAAACACAGCAACAAATTACCTACAAATTTCATTCTAGGGCGTGTTTCGTATTTTAAAAGCATTAATTTCTGCTACGCTGAATATGTTGTTTGTCCTGTTCAACCTGAGTGAAGCTGGCTCTGTGGTCTTATCACCCCCCTCCATCTTGCGGTGTATTCCCCTTCGGTTATATGGCAGGAATCGGCCAGTGGTCATTTACTATCTCGGGGGCAAAAATCTGCTGTAAATTCTGCTCAGTCCAGTTACTCTAGTTGAGTCACAAGCCGGTCTAGACAGCGCGCAGGGATCGGCGACCTCTTATCTAGTCCTGGCATCACCTGCAAACGATACACTGACTGAAGCCACAACAAACTAAACACCCCCCACCTTTGACACACTCAAACCCTCAGCAAAGCCCCTCGTAACTGAGGGGAACTGAGAGCAGCTCGTAAAGGGTCACTTCTCCTCTTCGGTTTATTTTCCTTTACTAAATTGCGTTATTGCACTCGGGTCAGCCGAGATGACAGCTCAGACTAAATGGACTGGCATATCTTGCACTGTGTAACAAACCACACACAAACCAAAGTCATCATTTATGTGAAATCTGTGGATAAAGCATTTTAAGATGTACGTAGGAATTTACTCACTTTAATTTTTTTTTGTTAGGTATTTAGTCTATTACATTTGCTCTAAAGAATTTCTCACTCAATGCACTTTTGGTTCTGTGGAATCTAAAACAAAAGGGAAGATACAAGAGTGAAAAGCGTCTTCAGTGCCAACAACAGACTTAATGGTTTCGGATAATTCTCTTAATCGATTTCTATCGGAAATAACTAGAAACATTTTGAGCATCGTTTCCTTTCTTTTAGACTCAATATAGTGATTTATTTTTCGTATTTACACCGGGCGCCTTTTCACCAAAACAAATGTTTGCAGTTTTTGTTTTTCGTGCTCTGTCAGTGTCTTAATTGTGAAGCTGAATGACAAAGGGCAGATAATAGATTTGTAATCGAGCTATTTCAAATAAGATAGGCAAACAATGCGAGCTGATTAAGATAACATAGATAAGCGAGGAATAACAATGGCGTTTACAGGCAAGAATGCGAGGCCTATTAACTCTCCCTCCCAGAAAATCATTAAGGGACGTTTTCCTATAATGTATGGACGCTGTTGCAATTTCTATTATTATTTTAAAACAATAATAATAAAAAAAATAATAAAATCAAATCGAGCCACATTTGTTAAAATAACACAAGCTCAGGCTTTATTTGTGGAGTTACATCATCGATTCTGCTTAAAGTGAAAAATAATTCCTTTGCTGCTTAGATGCTCTTCAAGTCTGTTTTAAAATCCGGACATGCTTCAAATGTAACTGAAAAAAAGAGAACTTTCACTGAATTAGAAAAGGGCGAACTCTTCAATAACCTTTAAACGCACAATTACACTCGACAAAAATCATTTGACTCAGGCGTTCGGGTGTGAAGTTTATTTTCCATCTTGTGTTTTCAGTTCTTATGCGATCCCGCGCTGCCAATACAGATCAGAGATCAGACCCTCTGACATCTAGACAATGAGCTTAAGTAGCCCAGCTGCTGGGAGTACGATCTTCTATCACGTCCATCAGTGGGCGTTTCCTCCCAGTGTGTTAAATAAGAACCAAAATAAACACCGCTGATCCCTGCTCAGTAGACGCACTAACACACACACGCACCTAAGGCTACTTTGTCTGCAGCTCTCACTCTTTTCCATACAGACTTAATTTTAATGGAGACATTGTAGGCTTTGTTGTGTCCCGGTTCGTTGCATTAAAGCTATGACAGATACCCTGTTAAATCTATACCTCCCAACTTTGACCCAGAACCACCGACACCCGATTAACTTCTAGCAGAGCTGATAACGAGTCTGCGCGTGTCATGTTGCCACAGTGCAACTAGATGCTGTTGGAGGGAGTGACACGATGTCATTAATGATTAAGAGGAGGAGTCCATTTAAAGGTGTGATGTAATTCTCTAATTGGTGGAGGGGTGGGCGTAATTAGATCTGGAGGGAAGTAGCAGTGCCGCCCTCCTCAAGACGCATCTTTCACGAGTGGATCACTTATTTATTTATTAGATTTTTTTTTCGACAAGTTTTTGTTCTGTTTTCTAGAGAAAAACAAGAAATGCACAAGGAAATAACAATGCCTCGTTTTGGATTTCCACATCCGTTTTTGCATTCGTCCCCCCCCCCCAAACAACAACTGTAGCTAATATTCAAAATGGCACTCTATATGATTTAATAGAACGGGTCAGATATTTATGGACCTTCATCACTTTATAATTATTATTTATTCTTATTAATGATCCTTAATTGCTGTTAAATTTTAACGTTTTCTAGGTATTGCTACGGCACTAGTTTATCTTGAGCTCTTTAGGCCCCAATGAAGTCATTTCCTCATGAAATTGCTGCTTTCTTTCTTACTTTTTCTTGCTTGGTAATTTTTAGTAATAATCTACAGTAATCCTGCACTGAACACGAACACATTCATAATACACATTCGCGTTCATCAAACGTAGCAGTTTGCCGTTTACTAAATGTGATATTACATCTGATAAAGTTAAAATAATAATACAGAAAAATAAAGACACTCCGAACTCGTTTTTCCTTTTCTTTTTTTTCTTTTGATGAATTTTAGGTAATCAGTGGTTAAAGTGAAGCTATCCAACTATTTAGGCACATAGACAAAAAAAAAAAAAAATGGGACACAGAGTAAAGAGATTAATGTACTTTGTGTCGATTTGACTTGCATAAGTAATTTTAAAAAATGTAGAACTGTCATATTATGTGAACCACCCACTTAATCTAACAGCCTTGCCATTGGTAGACCACAAATTATTATTATTATTAGTATTATTGTTAAACTAACATCCTCATGTTGACCGTCTCTGATTTTCTCATCAAGACAGTTTATATTCTGCTTTTAGAAAGGTTGAATTTCGTACGGATAGAAAAACAAAAAGAAAAAAAGTGAACGACAGAAAATTGCTTTTAGAAAAAAAAAGTGAGCTCATACTGTTCAATTAGCATTACTACATAGTCGAAATTTTGTAAAAGTGGCGTGTGCATGATTTCTGTGAAGTCTCTGCGAAAGTTTCGACTCTTGAGTTCCACTGTGACCTTGGTGTAGCTTTGGGGGCCACCAGCAGAGGAACAGCCGGGACGAACTTCAAGTCCGAAACTCTCAAGGGAAGCTTTCTGACAAACTGACTTAATGCAGAGACATATCTGGACGTTTGAGAGAGAGAGAGAGACAAGACAAAAGGGGGCTCAGTGTGGTGGGGTAAGAGAACACGTTTGGAAACAATGAGTTGACTGAGATTCTCAGTAGATTTATTAAAATTAAATAATTTAATATGACAAAGATGTGAAGCAAAGTCTACTTATTCTGGCATTCTGGCTAACTAACTAGGAAGCAAACCTAGAAATGAATTACTCCTTTAAAAATTATTGATTCCTATGAAATTAAAAAAAATCTTTATTTGTCTTATTTGTTCTAATGTGAAACAGCCAAAAAAAAACCAAGCATTGCCCTCAGTATGAAATTCAATGCATCTTATTCTGTATTTACACGTTTTCTGCACCTCTGGCAAGGTGTTAAATGTGAAATTTAAGGACCAATTTATCTTAGATGGGTAATAGCCAATTTAACATCTGGTGACAAGAATTTAATCATCTGTACTCTTAGGTTACAGTGATGATGAAAGGATAGTGTCAACATCTGTGTGTATTACCTTGCATCTTGTGCACTATTGATCCTGGAGAATAAATGCTGCTTTTACGGGAAAATGACACAGTGAGTAAATATCCACATATTATCCTGTAAACATTTTAAATCCCTGAGGTGTGATGAGATATTTTAGAATGCTGAATTTAAAAAAATTGTCCCTTTATGTGCTGTGACCTATTTTGACCGACATGTTTTATTTTTAAGGCCAATTTTCTATCTCGATTTAAATGAGTTAAAACTGCAAAAGGAGGGAACTTTGCATGCAGCAAAGTTTCTTTCTTATATTCTATGGTACTTTAGGTAAATCTGTTGGGAAAGACATTGCAACAGTAGCAACTTGCATTACACCACAAAAGCCATATGTGTGTGCACTGAAGCATGCATGCTCTCATCCGTGCATGCAAAAGTTTCTGGGCATGTTGTGTGCGTGAGCAGGGATGGTGAGCAGAACTCAGGCTTACCTGGAACACACACAGAGAGCCACAATCAGCCTCTCTGGTATCGCTGCTGAGACAGTGTCAGATCTCTGTAAATCACAGCGCCCCACCCACACATAAATCTACTGCAAAAACAACACACCAACACCCATTAGGAGGAGAGAGAAAGGCTGGAGCCGCCCCGCTTTACAATGACTTGCTATAAAACACAATGAGGGTTCACCTGTACTTGCCACCTCCCTTTGAGAAGGAAAACTGTCATTAGCCGAACAAAAAGGATAAACAAGTGTCACTGGAAGCAAACAATGAGGCAGTGAGCGTGAGTCACTTAAGATGAGAAACGGCATCAAAAGGTTTGAGGGAGACACACTGGCGTTCGTGAGGGTCATATCAGTGTCAGTTCAGGAGTTCAAGAATGTTTTGTGTTTTAGATTTAGGACTAAAGCTCAATTAACCTCCTGACTCACGAGTTAAAATTTGGAAAGAAATAACCTTTAATTATAGCATTCAGAGCAGAAAATGAAATGTAAATGCCGCTGAAATACTGTTCCTGTCA